TATTGACTTTCTTTCTTTCCACCACATGCTTTCCATTGCGCTTAATGGCAGTGGGTAGGAGGAGGGGGTGTGTGGGGAGGCTGTGCCCTCTGCCTCGGGGGGCCAGGCACTGGCTGAGCCTAAGCCCTGGGCTGCTTGGGGCAGCCGAGCAGCCTCAGCCCCGCACCCTGCCCTGCCTACACCAGGGCTCCGGAGTCGGTGGCTGAGATACCACCACCATCATCATCAACCAGGTGCTGGAAACAGGCTTCCAGCAGCTCTCCTGGGTGCTGGGAAGCTTCCCTTCCCACCCTGGGCTGCCTGGAGCAGCGGGGGGCCGGCACAGCCCCATCCCTCCCTCAGCTCTGCCTCCCGCCGCAGCCCGGACGGCCTGACCTGGCTTTGCTTCCAGCCCCGGGCTTCCAGGGGCAGCACAACTCAACCCTGACGGTGCTGCTGAGAAACCCCCCTGTGACTTTTTGTGTTCCTAGTCACGAGCTCCTGAGACAAAACGTGCAAGGCAGAAACAAGAGCTGCCTTTACTCAGGCTTTCTTCTTAAGAAATTGCCAGGAAATTAAAAGGAAACTTAAAACATTCATGGGCTAGCTTCTGTGAAGAGCAGCGTCCTGTCAGACAGGATGCGTCTGCTTCGGTCGGTGTCTTTTCCCAGCTAAGAATGGGAGGAGGGAGCTGACGCCTGGGAACAGAGCTTTGCACCGTGCCCCACCAAATCAAAGAGTTTATTTCTAACTTTCTTGATGTTTTATGCTAACTCGTGCACGATTTGCATATGACTGAATTTGTCATTACTGTCATGGATTTCTTTCTAAATGTTTAGCAACCGGCTGTTAAGTCTGTAGAAGCAAGCAAGAACATGGTATTAGTATCCATTCCAGGATATTAATATCCTTTATGGAGGCATGGGGCATCTGTGGTTGAGATTTATGTGTCAGCAAATTGACCCACAGATGGAGAGGTGTTGTCCCAGCACACATTTAACTAAAGATAAACTTGCCCTAGTATTTGCAATTCATGCAATTTGCAATTCATTACAAAAAATTCATCCCAAGCACCAGGGAAGTTTTTGTACCGCTGCTTGGAAGTAAGCTAACATTTCTCCTACCATAATAAAATTTTGTTTGGCTGCCTTGGCTTAGGTGCTTTTTTAAATGAGAAAATTTCCTGTTTATTGAATTTTTCTCTGACTAATGGAGGACAGGTCTACAGCTGAGTTTCAGGACTTTCCCAAGGTCAGTCAGCCATGTGTTTTGAAAGCTGGGATTTCTCTAGTGAATGGAAGTCTGAACTGAAGGCATTTAAGCTCTATAAACTGGAAAACGCAGTGAAGTAAGATCAAGACGTAAGATGAGGGCATTCCCTTCAGTGATTTTTCCAGGGTTGACATGGTACAAGTGTCTTTTCCCGTGTTTGTCTTGTTTCTGCCTGGGCTTTCCTACCGATCTGCACCCTTGAGCTGACGGTATGCTCCCGGACTGTGCAGGATTGTGCAAATAGGTGCTGAGGCTTCCTGCAGGTGTTGATCCTGCCATGCAACCACAGCTCAGGCGATCTGCACACGTGCTGACACTGTGCCTGGGATTTCTGGGCTAGTCAGCCCAGTTAGATCTGCTGCCTGGTAGATGTGACTGGTTCACTATGACCAAGAAGCAGGTAAATTTTTAAAATCTGCCTGGACAACCTTTCTGAGTGGCAAAACATGTGTTTGGGAAGCCTGAATGTATGGCAACCTTAACCTTAGATAGGTTACTCATTACTACAAATAAATTGAGAGAGAAGGAAAACAGGGTCTTGGATAGATTGCTGTTCAAAAAATCGTATTTTTCCGGGTTAAAAATCTCACTGAGATAAAGCAGTTTTTCCTCCCATTCCTGTAGTAAAGAGTTGAGTGGTGACGCTGCATTGGGACACCTCTGCCGTCCCTGCTAGAAAGTGGTTGTGTTTTACAGGTGGTTGAAGTAGTCTTTGTGGAAAGTAGGAAGAGTGAAATTGAAGTCCACCAGAGCCCGACTCAGCTGCTGTGCTTACAGCACAGGCTCCCGCATCTGACAGCAGAAAATAAAATCGATATGGACTCTGAATGACAGGTTTTGGCCCAGGTTGGTCACTTGAGTTAGGAGGAAGAAGGTCTTCAGCGTGAGTCTCGAGGAAAACTGATGCTTACCCCTTCGGACCTACACTGAGACTCCCTAACAGCACTGAGAAACTGCGCTAACTCCCTTTCTAAACTGGCAAGAACGCGCACTATTTACCTCATCTGTGTACACACAGTATCCTCTACAGGTGATGTATGACGTTGCCCTTTGCTATGGGGAAATGGCCTTCTGCTCCGTGTTTACACACTGTGACATCAGTGTTGCGTGTATCTCTTAGCCACGCGTACCGAGTGCAAGGCGCAAATGAACTATGTGATATGTAAGCTTATGAGAAAACATGACTAACCAGGGCAGTGAGTATGTTGTGAGGAATGTCCACAAACACAAGGTGTAGGTACAGGGAAACTGTTCACTTGTACAGAAATCAGATGCACTTAGCCAGCTTTGTAATGCTTGCTGGGTTTGGGGTTTCTTTTCCTCTGCACTGATGTCAACTGCTTTATATACACAGTCTGAAAGGACCTACTTAGGAGCAACCCACTGCTTTTGGGGTTTTTTTGGTTGTTTTGGATTTTTTTTTTTTAATATCAAACAACCTGGGAGAAAAAAGCAGAATTGAGGGCATTCTTCAGATCAAAGGAGCAAGCCCAAAAGACATATGTTAAATAAATAGTCTGAGTTTTCCTTTAATATGAAGTTATACATGTCCCCTTTTGAAGTTTAGGCTAATCCCAGAATGTCAGTCTTGGAGACCAACGTCCAGGAAAAAAAGCAGCAATACAAGTACAGCCAAGAAGGAAGAAACACTGACTCCTCTGTACTGGGTTTTAGATCAAAACCGTGTCACGGACCATTCCCAAACAGCTGACGTGTGTTCTCCTAAACCGTTAAAGCAAACACAGGTATTGATCCTGAATAGTCTCTAGGAGTGGGATAGTTACTAAGATTTTACCTCAGGTTTCCTCGATGCTGTTCTAAAAGCAAACCGAGCGTCCTGCTGGATGGCTCGGGGTTTGCATGCTGTGTGGAAACGCTGCTGGGGTACAGAGGTGTGGCGGCCGTGTCTGCTCACCTCGACTCCGGCTCTGCAGCAGGAGGCTAATTAAACCCATCGCAGAATAAGGACCATTTGACATCCATACAGCAAATATTCACTTGCATTAAGCAACTGGATTGTAAACTACCGTTTTCATTTCCAGTTTAAGAAATGCCACAAAGGTTATACTGCCCCAAAAATGTGTTGCAAAACCAAGTTCTTGTTACTGGTAGTTTGTGCTCTGCCACTTTCCCTAGAGGCTGACCCTTGTCCTGCACTGCTGCTTAGGAGACAGACCAAAGAGAGGTGTTTATTCTGCTCCCATACCCGCTAAACTGTGGGCTGCTCCGAGAGCTGGCGTGTTCCTCACTCGTGGTTAGGAGCAACTGCGTGCCTGGCAGAGTGACCCTGTGCTGCTCCACAGGGAAAGCAAAGCTCCACTTTCTGGGCTTGATTTATTTATGGATTTATTGATTTAATGCCTACGTCCCCTACAGCATTCACCCCAGTACGTGCCCCAGGCACCGAGCAGCACAGGCACACCGATGCCGTAAAGGCTGGCCCTTTCCTTGCAGCCGACCGGCCGCATCCACACGGTGTAACAGCCCTTTCTCAGCCTTGGCCACCCCTGAGCCCCGTGTGGCCTCCCCGGGACCCCTCTTCTGTTCATTTGGGCTTTTTTTTTCAACTGCTGCATGTGTGACTTGGAGCTACAGCTTCAAGGGGATTTTGTGAGGGGGGAGAGGAGATAGGATGCCTTTTTGGAGGTAACACAGAGGGAGGCAACTGGCAGAGTCTTGCTTGTGCTGCCTCTAGGGAGCAGCTCTGGAGCGAATCATGCCCAGGCTTCACCCAAGGGAGCTAGTTTCTCTCACCAGAGATCCCAGAACAGAGCTCACATAAGAGCACCGTTACCAGTCCTGGGACCAGGATATGAGGGTAAACTGTGGGGCCACATCGTTTGACCATATAGAGGTAGGGACTAGTTAAATCGGGGATTAGACTGGCAGTGATCACTTACATGCAAAGCTATAGGGGATGGCATAGTGTGCTGGGAGGGTGTCATTGCGAGCAGGCACAGATCTGTGCCTGAGCTTTGCAGCCCAAATTTTTCGGAGCTGAGAGTCCTCAACGTGTCTGCCTGGTACCCCCCCTGCTCCCTCACGCTGCGTGTGGGCTTTGCCGGGCGGCTCACAGGCAGTTTGGGTGGAGGTTTCCTTTCAGCTGCCTGGCTGCCACTCCGCAGGGTGGTGGTCCAGAAAGCCCCTGCCCCCCCGGCATCGCAGCTCGGGCTGCACAGCTCGTGTCAGAAAGGATAAACCAGAGGTGGCTGAAAGCTGGGCAGCAAAATTTCTCTCTTCAGTCCGAATTTCTGCTGTTGTTACTGAAATGCTGTTCTTGATACAAGAGCGCAGGTATGAGAGAAAATCTCCACATTACAATTTAAAAGGGTGTTGAAAAGATGGAAGTCTGTTTTAACAGAGAAACCCCCAAACACTGAGCAGGCTTTTTGATTTTTCTTTGGCTTAGTGCAGTAGCACAGCTGTTTCTATGTACCAGGACACAGTTAGTGGAGGTCTAATGTGGAGGGAAGCGCAGCACGGCAGGTCCAATGCATCTTTCCTCTGTGCTGGCTGGCTCTGATTAAAATGGCGAAATGGAGATACCTGACCTCGATTAGCCTAGGTGATTAGTTGGTGGTGAAAGTCTAATGTGTTGACTTTCACCTGCTCTGACTTTTGCAATGAGACCCCTACCCAGCTAGTGCAAGTTCTGAGTACACAGGATTTTTTTTTTTGTTGTTGTTAACTGAGTTTTGAGATCTCTTCAAAGGAGCTCCTGGCTGTGCACAAGTCACGCTCTCAAAAGCTCTTTTGGAAATCAAGTATATTGGTATAACCTAAACCAAGACTGATCAGCTTTAATTCCACAATACTTGTCCAAGCTGTGTTCTGAAGCAGGGGAAAAAGCAGAGGTTTTGGAAACAAATGCATTTTATTTCTTATTTTTGCAGCTGTCTGAGATACCAAGGTAAGCACCTCTCCCTATCTGCAGGTGTATGTAAGTGAGGTTTCAGGACGAATGTTGCTAATATTGGCCGCTAGTTGGCATTATTGATACACCCCAGCAAATGGACGTGGTGCAATAAAAACCTGGGAGGGCAGCGCTCAGGGCGCTGAGGCATCCTCCTCCCGGCCCGCCTTGCAGCTTTCCCCAGCTCCACAGGTTGGTGGGTTGTGCTGAATTACAGCTCGGCCAGAGCAGGCTGAGACCGCCTGGGCACCACAGCCCTGCAGCGCCTTCCCGGCTGACCCCCCTTTTCCCCAGTTTGTTGCCGTCTGTAGGGGCTGCGCTGGGTTCCCCATCAGGAGAAGAGGTGAGAAGCCCTTCTGGTCACCACCCTGCCCAGGAAGAACTTTCTTAGGCTGAAGATGCCTCACGGGGTTTTGGTCACCGCGGATGTTACGTAGTGTTTGGGCCAAAACCCAAATGCTCAAGGTCTGCAGCATTAATAATTACAATTTGCAGATGTAGCAATAGTTTACCAGGAACTTGCATGGAAGCGCTTTGAGAGCATAAGGCTGCTGAGAGCCAGCTGAGCTCATCTTGTGCAACCGATGGGTGTGTGTGTATTTTTGAAAGAGTCTTTTGTTACAGAGCGTGGTGGAATTAGACTTGTCTTAATCTGCTTTGACCGGGAGTAGATTTATTCCAGAAGACCTGATAAATGTCGCTGATGAAACAAGTACCGGTCGAGATATCGAGCGTTGCTCGAAGTGGATTTTGCTTGGTAAAAGAAGAGCAAGACAGTAATTCAGCCTTCAGGAGAGTAGAGATTTTTGAATAGAAAAGAAATTCCTCACCTTCTTTGAGACAAAAACCTCATTAAATTGTTTTATAGAATAATTTGCATCCATACATAGAAACTAATCTTCAGTTAAATCCATTTCAAAATCGTTACTGAATAGCAAGGACAAAGGTGCTGTCTGTCCCTGCCCGAGCGTAGTTTAGGGACCTTCCATGACACAATAGGACTGCCATGAGAAAAATCCACTTTTGGTTTGAAGTCCTCTTTTAATCTTGACAGTTTTTAAGGGAATTGCAGCCAACTCTGATGCCAAAGTAATTTTCTCGATTATAGACTTCTCAGACCCACATTACCATTTGCTCGTTAAAAGACAAGATCCGTTTGCTGCAGTAGTTGCGGACCCTCCTGGCTAGATTAAAACAACTGGTTTTCCGGGCTGCCTGGCAGGGATGAGAATGCAAAGGTTGATCAGTCAGATCCGCTTTTGGAAAGCTGGCTGGTGGGTCCTCCCACCAGCCACCGAGCGTGCAAAGGGCGTTCGGGGGCTGAAGGATCCCAGCAGCAAGCGCTTTTCAATGAGGAAGTACTTAACAACGTCTACCTAAGGCTAAGGTAGCATAACTGTGATCCAAGGCTTGAAGAACAACAGAGAACCATCTCCTTGTGTGTTTAAAACGTACGGCCTGATTTCACAAATCCTCACTTGCATAAAGGCGTTCGTTAAATGAGGGAGAAGGTGCACTTGGGAGGTAGCTGCTGATTAGGGAGCAAGTGAATTTTTACTTTTAATAGACTGTGCTATTTCTGGCACTACTTGACATCTGATTTCATTTTATGGGTTACATTTGCAAATTTTACTGTGACTGCATAAATTCAACCTATGGTGTAAAAAAGCCTCTGGAGTAGAAAACTGCCTAGCTAATTCCCAGTGAAACCCTTCCTTCACCTGACAGCAGGAGAAATATTTGAATAATATAAAGTAATTCCCTCCTGACTCCTCATGGGCTGATTAATATAATTTCACGTTGCACCTGTCCCGTGTTTTTTTAATAGAATTAAAACATGTATAATGATCTAAATTATAGACCTCCAATTTGCATAATATACTTTAGAAATACCGTGTTGTTTTACTACATATTTTTGGGAGCAGCCACGGTGCTAAAAACATTCTAATTGCAATTAGAAATACCGTGTTGTTTCACTACGTATTTTTGGGGGCAGCCACGGTGCTAAAAACATCCTAATTGCAACCTCGTGGACAAAAACGCGTGCTCGTATTTTAGAAGATAGTGACCTCAGTGGGCATGAAGAAAGCAGAAATCTTTTGTTTGAAAAGTAGAAATCTGAGAAGCCTCCCCCACGAACCTCGGTAGTATCTCAGCAGCTTTGTTAACAGTAATCGCAGGCACGTGTTGTTTGAAAAGTAGAGAACCGGAGAAGTCTCACCTGTGAATATTGGTAATAGCTCAGCCGCATTGGTGACAGTAACGGCAGGCACAGGGTTTCGCCCACTTTTCGTTTCAGCGTTGTGTTGCTTACCCGCTTCTCCCTGCCGGCCTCGACCGAGAGGTTTTGCCACCGCAGCGTGTGGTGCAACCTAAACCCAAAATAGCTTCCGTGCCTGCCCGCTTCGCGCTCCGATAACAGAGGAAGAGAGATGACTCACCGCGTGAGCTGGGAGTAACCGCTCACGTTCCCCTTCTCTCTGGATGCTGCCCACTTGTCGCACATGACCGAAAAAAATCCCGGTCCTCCCAAGCCAGCCGCCCAGGAGCCGAGGCCCGGCCAGAGCGGGGCAAAGGGGGCGAGGGGTGCGCGCGCACGGGGACGCGAGCCGGGGGCGGGAGGCGGAGGGCGATGCCGGCGGCTTCCGTCTCCGCAGCTGCACGAGAGGATGGAGATTTGGGGTCACGTGCCCCGCGAGCCAGGCCTGCAAAAGGTGCGGGAGGCTTCCGGGGGGAATCTGGGAGGACGGGGGGGGGGGCGAGGTGGCATCCATCCCCACCAGTCCCGTCCCCATCCCCGCCGTGCCCATCGCCCCCCACGCCGGAGGGGCGGGGCGCCCGCATAGCCCCGCCCCCCCGCTTCGCCGCGTCCCCCTTACGGGAAGCGCGGCCCCGCCCCCGCCCGCGCGGGGGGGCGGAGCCGCTATAACGGCCGTCGCCACCGCCGCCGCCCTTCAGTCGCCGCCGCGCCCGCCCGCCCAGCCCTGGCCGTGCCCGCGCCCGCCCCGCCGCCCTCCGCCGCCCTCCGCCGCCGCCGCCCGCCGCCCCGCGGCACCGCCATGATCGTGGAGAGCAGCCGGGACGCGGCGCCCGATGGCGGCGACGGCGGCGCCCTCAGCAGCCCCATCAACCTCGCCTACTTCTACGGGGCCTCGCCCCACTCCAGCGAGGGCAGCTGCTCGCCGGCGCACTCCGCCCCGGGCTCGCCGGGCTCCGACTCGGACCTCTCGGTGAGCAGCCGCGGCGGCGGCCGGAGGGACCCCCGGGGCGGCGCCCGCCCCGCGCTGCAAGGTACGGCGTGCCCCGGCGGCGGTCCCGGCCCCCCTGCGCCTGGGGGAGGGGGGAGCCGCGGCTCCCGACCCCGGCCCCTCCGCCAGCGGGGCCGGTCGCGGACCCTTTTGGGCCGAAAAGCTCCCGAAGCGGTGAAAAGCGGGAGCTCCGCGTCGGGCGGGAGCGTTTCGCCGGGGTGTTTCCAGGCGGGGGAGCGGCACGGAGGGGATCCCCGGGGTGGGAGGGTGCGGGGGGCATCGCCGCGGCTCTCCTCTGCCAAACCGGGGGTTTGGGCTCTTCCACATGCGTCTCCGGCTTTATTCTTTTTTTTAAATTGAAAGCAGAGTCGGTGGCTTAAATCCGCGTTTTGTTTTCGTGTCTCAACAGTTGAGCAGCACATGGGGGGGGGCAAGCAGCACAGAGGACCTTTCCAGGGGGTCCGTGTGAAGAACTCGGTGAAGGAGCTCCTGTTGCACTTCAGGAGCAGCAAACAGATGTCCTCGGGCTCTGCCACAGAGGAAGGCAAGGTAACCAGCATTTTTCAGTGCTGACATAATTGCTTGTAGGGGTTACTGAAGCTAACAGAAAAAAGGCACGCGATAACGCTAGAAGTGAGCTCGCTGCCTTATCTGATGTGGATGGAGTCAGTATTTTCCCTTTCCAATGCGTAATGGAAGAACAGAACTGGGAAGAAATTAGTGAGAAGGTTTCCTGCGGGAGAAGGAGGCACTTAAAAATGTTCTTACTAAGCTTTATTTTCTGAAGGGAGTTTGGATAAAGATACGTTTGTGTTATGAAACCTCAGAAACTCCCTGTTAACTTGAATGAGGTCATTCATTGTAAGAGTTGGGGAATCTTCTCAGAAGAGAGTTGTTTGTCATGCTATTGTGCTCCTCTGTGTGGAGCACCACAGTATAAAGGCAGACCCTTCCAGTCTGGAAAGACAGCAAAAGGAAAAAATATAAGAAATTCTAGGAAGATTAAAGGGGATTTTTTTTTTTTTTTTTTTTTTTAAGGACAGTCTTTCTGAGTGTGTTTGTGAGTTTACTAGATAAGTGTTGTCACAGGAGGATTTTTTTTGCATAGTAAAGTTGACATTATGGAAGAAATATAAAATTGGCTGGCTTATGTTTTAAAAAAACCAAAGCAGTCGTCAGTAAGGAACAGTATCTTTCTCTAGATTTTTTTGAATTTTGTGGTATTGTAACAAACAGATTTAAGAGCCTTCAGAAAAACGGTGGTTTTCATTTAAGTTCTGTAAAAGTCTTTACATTTTCTAACCTTAATTAAAGGCAATTAAATTAGGGTTAGGCAATCATGTACTAGAATTGTTCTAAGGTATATTCTGTGTTTATGGAAGCAAGTTGCTGCTGCTTTCTTTGTGGTTTTGTTTTTTTTTTTTTTCCTGAAATAACCTTATAGTAATGGAATAATCTGAATTTTTCTCAAAAGGCACAAGGAGGACTGGTGAACTACGAGCAGTACACAGGTAAAAATCCCCTTTTTTTAAATACCCTGCAATAAGATTTTAAAAGTTGATTGTAAGAGTAACCTCCAAATGGGTTCTAAATTTTATTTTCTTCTCATCAGAGCTGAAGAGCATACTAGGTCACAGTGCCAAAAGAAAGGCTACTGAGCTCCTTTCCGATGGACCTTCTTTCAAACGCCAAGCTAATGTTCACCCACACCTCCTGGTAAGCCTGTAGTAACTTTTCCTGTGTCTTTATTTTTCAGTTTGCTTTGTGTGATCAGAAACTACCAGATAAAACTACACCTCTTAACTTCCTGGGACTTGTTTTGAATTTTTTTTTTCTCTCCCCTGACAGACGCCACCCCAGACACCAACGTCGATGGATAACATGGAGGAGGCTCATAAAAATGACCCAAAGCACGACAGCAGTTCTGACCTGCTTCAGAACATTATAAACATCAAGAACGAGTCGAGCCCCGTTTCTCTGAACACGGTGCAGGTTAGCTGGCTGCACACTGTCTCCAGTCACAGCTCACCCGGCGAGCAGTACCAGGACAGCCTGGGAACACAGGCTTTCTCCCCATCCCAGAAGTACCAAGCATTCCAAGATCACTCCTCCCAGCATATGCTCGAGCCGCCACAGCATTATCAGTTCCCTCCTTCTCAGAACCAAGATTTGTCACAGAGCTATCCTTCGGAAGCCTCCCTGGAGTACAGGCCGTTTGCTGCCAACGACCACTCTCCTGGCTACCAGCAAAATACCTTTGAGAGCCATGAACTGCAGTACTGCCCCTCGCAGAGCTTCTCCTCCCTCTTGAACGACTCCGAGGGCTCGGAGGGCATCTCCGCTCCCCTCCAGCCCCTGACCAGTGCCCACCCACAGGCTGATGTTGACCCCCAAGCTCCGAACTTCAGCTTGCTTTCCAATAACATCTGTGCTAGTCTGGAGCGCAGTGTCTCTTTGGCTACTTTGAATGTCTCTCTACCTGACCAAAACATTGCCAGAAGCACAACGCAGCTGGGCAAGTCATTTTTTCAATGGCAAGTGGAGCAGGAGGAAAACAAACTGGCTAACATCTCTCAAGACCAGTTCCTTGCGAAAGACTCAGATGGAGACACGTGAGTGCTGTTTATTTTGGTGTTTCTGATGTGGACGGTTGGGGAATGTTTTTTTGGGGTTTTGGTGGACTGTGGGGTTGTAATGGAAAGCAGTTCACTACTAGTGTTTGTGTCATGGGGTGCAGTAGTTTCGCTGATCAAGTGAAATGTGTGCTCTTGCTGATGGGCTGCGATGCACTGAGTTGCAGCACACTGAGCAGATAAGGGGTTTGTATTGTCTAGTTTCGGGTACTTATCACTTCTATCTCATAAATGGAGAGAAAAAGATTCTAATTTAGATGCTTTAAATTGCCCTGGGAAGAAGGTACCTGTCTTAGTCATGCAGAGGAGGCCTGAAGCTGGCAGCGTAACACCCCTCCCATATGTTTGGATCTCTGTAATGACTTGAGCCCTAGTTTGTATCGTGGTGTAACTCTGTGTTTCCCCTCTTTCCTGCAGCTTCCTTCACATCGCCGTTGCCCAGGGCCGACGAGCGCTCTCCTATGTTCTTGCAAGGAAGATGGCTGCCCTGCACATGCTGGATATTAAAGAACACAACGGCCAGGTGAGGTTCTCAAAATCTTTGCACCTGAGTGCTTCTGTGTATCTGGACCTTGAGGGAGATGTGGTGAAAGGCTTATTTAATATTAACCCCGAGATTTAGCCTGCATACTAATATTCACCTTGAGCTATTAATAGTTCTTGTGATCACCTTGAGCTGGTGAAACTATGTGCTCTGCTTCATTTGCCCTGGCTTCCTGGTATTCATAATCATTGCTTAAATAATATCAGGTATAGACTTTTTATTTGGTTTAGATGCTCTTTCCTGTTAGAGATCAGATGACTAATAGTTTAAATTTTCTTCTTGATGTTTGCAGAGTGCTTTCCAGGTTGCTGTGGCTGCCAATCAGCATCTCATTGTGCAGGACTTGGTTAGCCTGGGGGCTCAAGTCAACACCACAGACTGCTGGGGTAGAACGCCGTTGCATGTTTGCGCTGAGAAGGGGCATGCCCAGGTCCTTCAGGTAAGAACCAGATAGGCGTAGCTCTGCCCTGACCGTTAACGCTTGTACTTTGTATTAGTTATCTTGGGGAAACTCTGAAAATGCCTCCATTGATCTTTCCCTTTGCGTAGCCTCGTGTGTCTCAGGGCTCTACAGTAACGGCTTAGGTGAGACTGACTTTCAAGTTAAGCTTCTCATCAACCTTTCGGAGTAATTTGGTGGAATCCTCCAGTCTATGAAACCATTGTCTCCTCTTCATGCTATTTTTTATTGCAACTTTGTTGCAGTAAGACTGTATACAAGCTTGAGGAAGCAATATGTGGTTTGGATAAGACCTAAATGCATACCTGTTCCTGTTTTTGTAGGCAATCCAAAAGGGAGTAATGGGAAGCAATCAGTATGTGGACCTTGAGGCAACAAACTATGATGGTGAGTAGTTAAGAGTTTATAATTCACAGAGTTACTGGATGTTACAATGTTTTATAGCTGCTGATGTGAATGTTATCCTAGGTTGAGAAGCAATAAAACGGAGCGTATCTTTGCCAGGTTGAAATTTACAATTACAGCTGAAGTTGCATTACAGTTGGCATATCTATCAGATAAAAACATGGTTAGTCTATGCTTGTCTGGGATCTCTTTGCTCTTACATGCGATTGCCGTGTTTGGTGTTGAGACTGTACGTAGTAATTGGCTACTGTTTAAAACATCTGTGTGCTAGAAGCCAGATTCTTTGCTACCAGAGAGTTGTTTTAATTGAACCTCTTCTCCATATAACAGATCTTTCTAGTGTATGTTTTGTAAAAAAATACATTAGCAATTGATTCTTTCATTATCTGCTGGCTGAAAGCTCCCAGTAGGTGGTTACTTGACTCCACTGGTGATGGACAGCCCAAATCACAAGCCACACAGGAACAGTCACTGTCACTTACAAATATGGAACTGTC